GAAGAGGGGGGTGCCCCGGGCGCGAGGAGACACTGGCCCCAGAGGCCTTCAGCGGCCTGCTCGGTCTCGGGGTTGCACTGGAGACCCCATGGGCCCTTCCAACCCGGATGTTTTCCAGGCCAGGGCCTCCCAAGGGCGCTTCCCTGCACCCGGGAGGGCCTGTGGCAACAGCAGCACCTGGCAGAAGCACTGGGAGCTCAGAGACATAGCTGGGACTGCACTGAGGGAAAGGCAACAACGACGTGCAGGACAGTGAAGGTGGCCGTGGATGCCACAGAGTCAAAACAGTTTGTGGGGAAGGAACTGTCACTGCCAAGCATCATTTTAGATGTAGTAACGTGTGCTGCGTTTTTCTCTCTCGACTATTAAGGTTGTCCAGATGATCCCTGCTGTGGAAGTGGGCATTTAAAGAGAGATGGTGCTCAGATTTAAGCACGATGGATTCCACTCCACAGCTAAAGCATTTCTGCAAAAGCTAGGCCAAAAAAAAAAAAAAAAAAAAGTGGTGATTACAGAGAAGGGTTTAAGGGCTGTAGTAGCAACTGGCTGAAGAGGCATGTCCAGCAAGACTTACTCAAGGAGAGCAATGCTGACCTAATCAGAAAGAGGGTGCTGGCATCACACTCATACTGGTAGTGAGACAGTTGTCAAATGCTGTGTCTGTCACTGGTGTCCACATGTCAAGATGATGTTGAAAAATTGAAAGCCTGGTCCTGTGCCTTCTAGAGATTACAAATACTGGCATTTGGATGCTAGTTTAAATTATTTAAAGAATAGGAATAGTTAGGAATACTTCTTAAGAGCTAAAAGAGCACACAGGGCTTAGGAGCTCAGAGGAGCCCCCAATGCCTCTGTCTCCATTGGGGGCCCAGTGTCAAAGTTGTAGAAAGCAGCTTGATGTCTCCAAGTAGGTGCTCTCATGCATGAGGGGTGCAGTGGTGGCAGCTCTAAGCACTTCAAGGTTGCTATGAAGAGGAGGGTGGGTGATGTATCTGCAGACATATCTGCCCACATCTGGCAATCCCATCTCAAAAAAAACAGTAGCAGCCAAAATGCAGCCCTGTCCCACTGTTTTGGACTTACTGTGGACATGAGTTCTGCAGTCCTGTTGGCAAAATGCTGCTGAGCTGTCATTTTGGGGCTTGATTCCCAATCGTCCAGCCTTTCTTGCCTTGTGGTGTTTCAGATGAACTTTCAGTATGGGCTTCCTTGGGATTCTCTGCAGGTTCTGATGTTCTCACTGTATTGAGATTACTGGGAGAGGTCCCCAAAAGTCCTGTTCTCTTTACTAGGTTTGCCCCTGCCTTAGATCTACTTAGATCTACCTCTCAGAAGCCTAGCTAAGACTCTTGATAAGCAATGGTGCAGCTCTTTCTTTTTACTTCAAATCTATTTATCATGAGGACGTTTTAGCACAGCCTTTTGAAAGTATGCCACAAGTTCCCGTTTTAGTGGAAACGTAATCATCTTGTTTTACTCTGGCCCAAAACAGCAGCAATTGCTAATTATTGCATCTCCGAATTTCCTAGATTTTTTTTTAATTTAAAAAGACACATAACTATGAAGTCCAGTGGCAGTGTGACATGTGCATTGCAACCATTTGAAGGTGACAAGATGGACATGAGGCGTGCACTTCAGGGAGCACATCAAGTTTTAATGTGTACCTTTGCCCAAGCAGAGAGGAACCTGCATCCATGTCCAGCAGCTCTGTAGGCTCTTTCACTGACACATGAAACAACGCATCCAGGTTGCCTTGAGTAGGGACAATGCTATGAATGGCCCTTTGCCCTCACTGAGTGGCATCTTCTTCAGTGCTGGGAAATGTTCCTTTGGCTCCACAGGGCGATCCCTTTGCCAGCATAGTCCAAAGGTCTAGAGAGTCTCGCAAAAGTTGTCTCCTTGAGAAGCTGATGTAGACTCTTAAGATGTGGAGAACAGGAGCCAACCTACTTCAGTGGAGTAGGAACCCAAATAGTGCTCCTTTTTCAAATCCCTACATACGCTGGTGTGAAGAGCTGCCTTTAGAGAGTGGCTATTGCAAGAAGGACAGACGTGCTGCATGGGCCAAGATGCCTTCGTAATGCATGTGTGTTCGGCCCATGTCCTTGACTGTCCTCTCTAATGATGTCCTGTGCTTGGCCTAAAGCCTGCAAAACAGGAAGGGTTCCCATCTACATATTCAAGATGCCAGGTGAGTTTGAGCTTCTCCTGAACTAAATGTACAATCTGAGTACTTCCACATTGGAAGGTACTTCCACCCTATTCCATGGACCCTGTCCAAGGTCAGACCCCACTGGGGTCTGCAGCAGTCTGGTGACTCACTTCAATCTGAACATAAACAGCGATCCTGTGGTCACAAGCTCTTTGTCCGAGAGTCTTTCAAGAGATCCTTTCTGTTGTTTAAAGAGAGGGGATAGTTTTGCATGTCCTCTTTGCTTGCTCTTGCTCTGCAGGGCAGAGCGCAATGTGACGGGCAGGCGGCTGGGGAAGGAAGAGCAAGTCGTGCTTGGGTGACACTGGGGATGAGAGAGTGACCTGGCCTGGAGGGAGGGTCTTCGCCAGAAGAAACCCACCGGAAAACTTTATCAGGAGCATCAACCCCCATCGGACTGCTGCGCGCGGGCGGAGAGGGCGAGCGCAGGGCTGGGCGCGCGGGAGGCGCCCG